CCCCCCCACACACACCAGTATCGTCATAGGGGGTGACCACAGTGTTCTGCCTTAATTCGTGACGTTTTTCCAAGAACTCGCTGCTATGTACTGTGCGAAATCAATCGATCTTGCAAGAATAAATTTTTGGACATCCCTCTTCTAAGAATTCCAATTGAGTGTGTTAGTGTGGCCAGCACGGCACATATCACGTCTCTGCTGTTTATAACTTCATAGGAAAGAAAACACGCTAGTCATAGCAGTTTCAATGACGAAACCTCTCCCAAGAGCAACAGGAATTTTGCTGCAAGACAGGCATATGTAACAATGACTTAGCGCAGCTAAACTCGTGGCTTATTATACTCTGTTCTACTGACAACAGGCCAGCGAAAAATCTAACAATCTACAGCAAAACCATCAATTATTATGGGCGTTATAACATAGGTGTGCAGCTGGACGAAACATAGACGTCGAACCCCCGCAGACGATTTAAATACCTGACGAAACATACATGTCAAACCACGCTGAACAGTTAAGTAATTGAGCCAACTGTAGTGCCCTTGATGTGAACCAAATACCTGTAATACTGCAAAAGTGAGAAGGGAAACTAACTACAATGCGTTAATGTCATTTATATCATTAATGAAAAAAAATAACAACAACAATGGAGTTTCTTGTAATGATACTGTAATTAAAGAAGAATTTTTTTCAGGAAAGTTTCACTATATAAATAAAAAGTCACAATTGTCCACATGTAATCCCTGATTCTCTTGAACATGTACTCACCAATTTCCCCATGTTTGGCAATAGGTCCAGCATGAATCTTGAGGATCTCCAAACGAGCCTGTTCATTGGGCAAGGGAATTTCAATCTTTCGATCCAGACGGCCTGGCCGAAGCAGCGCAGGATCCAGTGTGTCTGGACGGTTCGTTGCCATGATGATTTTTACCTTATATTGCACAAAAAGTTTCATGGACATTCAGAAATTCTCATCTTTGTCAAACATGAGATATGGGAAAGACATACAGGAAACCTGCACTGAATCCAATAGGTCTAAGATCCAAAATATTCAGCACAGATGTCCAGCACCTTACATTTAGACCACATGGTTATCTGCATTTCAAACCACGTATTACATGCAAATTTGTAGAGATTATAAATATTTACTTCAGCATTCTAGTTAGCCCATCTGCATTTCCATTCATGTATGTTTTATACTGACTGTGTGGGTAATAAATAATGATGCAAAATCCACCTGAATTAATGACAGCAAAATTATGAAACAAGATAATTCTACATGCACAGTTCTTTACATAAAACACTGCTATTGCCCACAGTATAAGCATTTTACCTGTCCTAATGAATCAAAGCCATCCATTTGATTCAATAATTCCATAAGAGTGCGCTGAATCTCACGATCAGCTGATGTTCCCTCTGAGAATCGCCGTCCTCCTGTAGAAAAATTTAGAGCAAAGTGAGTATGTATATACAGGAATTTGAATAAACTGATCTATAAGAGTACTGTCAAGGTTTGGAAATATTCCTGAAGTTCTGACACAAAACAGCTTCTGTGTTATGAAAATTAGTAAATTTAAGTTAAGCCCACTTAGGCTCTTAAAATGGTTCCACTTTGATTACTTTTAGGATTATACAATTAAAAAAAAAAGCTAAACCTATTTCTGTAACAGGCCATGGAGGCCTATAGGGTTGTGAGACATCGAGGCTCACACATTTTCTAAACAATCGCCTTACAGATGGTGGTGAGGTTGTCACCCTTACGTGCCAGCTGCCCTGTACCCCCCCAGGAAGATTCATGGTACTCATTTCTGTCAGAGGCTGAGTCAACCCCAGGACCATAGTGCAGCTGGAAGGATTAGGTCTGTTGAAAAAATCCACCTCATCGGGACTTCAACCTGCAATCTTCCGGCTTGTAGCATAGTGCCTCAACCAACTATGCTACCATGTACCCCCAGGATTATATAATACATTTTAAAATATTTAAGTTGGCTAGCTAGCATAATTTTCTGTCACAATTTGCGAATGGATTCACTGAAATTCAGTCACAGTAATTTTCTACATAGACATTCTTCATAGAACACAAAGTTTTCAGTTTGTTTATGACTTCATTAGAGGGTAACAGATCAAAACCCAGTACAAAAGCATAAGATACGATGTGTACACTATCTGTATAATATATACAATAATACTGACTTCACTAGACAGAAATTTATTTATATAACTAAGTATCACATCAGGTAACCATATATGACAATGTCAACTTCACACATTTGCAACCTTCACAGTGTAAGAAAGCATTCCCTCACTGTACCAACTGGTGGTGAAGGTGCAATGTTCAAACACCCTGCTAGGTACTGCACCCTGGACATTCCATCCACCACCAATCATCTACTTACTATAAGCAATTATTAAAAATATATTAACAGCAAAGGGTGGCTTAAACTCCCAGATGTGTCATGACTAGAATTAAAGACGATGCATCTACTTCGTGGATTCCAATGTAAATCTGCACACATGAAAGGACAACAAAATTAAAGTTGAAAGTTAGTTTACTCTCACGCTGAAAACTGGAAGAACAAACCTATTGCATCAATCTCGTCCATGAAGATGATACATGGCTGGTGGTCACGAGCATAATTGAACATCTCACGGATCAAACGAGCACTCTCTCCAATATATTTGTCCACAATTGCACTTGACACTACCTGAATGCAAAGAAAACACAAATCACATTACAATCAATTGGTGGACTGTGGACATTAAAAAGAGAGTTTTTTATTGCTAGTGGGGTGGGACTAAGTCCCTTGTACTGTGGTCACTTCTGGCCTATTGTACCAACCCCAGATGATAGATGAGGGTGATTGTGGAGCAATTGGTGGAATGAAGATTGGCAGGGGAAACCGAAGTACTCGATGAAAACTTGCCCCAGCGCCTCTTTGTCCACCACAAATCCCACTTGACCAGACCTGGGATCGAACCCGGGCCGCCGTGATGGGAAGCCAGTGACTAACCGCTTGAGCTATGGCATGACCTAAAAATAATAGGCGAGGAAATGCATGAATTGTAATAATTGTGAGATCTTCCCTCCTTTAGTTTATTATCTTAAAAACCACTGGAAAAGCATACTGAGCATAAAATGGGGTTTTAATTTTTCTCTCCAATGTATTCCTCTCTGATAAATATTTAGTGAGATACTGGGTTTCAATCCAACAGCAAGGGTAGATGTGTGGGGTACACAGACAGTTCCAAGATAAATGATGGCACTGGGGATGTGGTGTGGGGATATGGCATAATGAGAAAGCTTTGCTTCAGACTTGGGCAGTACACCACGGCATTCCAGCCAGAAGTTTATGCCTTCAAAGAATCCACAGCACAATATACATAGGAGCTACAATTACAGAAACATCTGCATTCAATGTGACAGTCACACTGCAATTAAAGCACTTGACAATTACCAAATCAACTCAAAGCTAATAATTCTTAATTCTTAATGAAACTGGCTGATCATAACAAATTTCAACTGACGTGGGTATTAGGTCACAGATGAATCAAGAGTAATGAAATTGCCAACCAACTGGTAACATTTGGATCGGTCCATTTTTAGGACCTAAATCAGCATGCCACATCACAGTAGGAGTTGCCAAGATAGCTGTCAAGGACTGAATGGACACCATTAAAAGTACTGGGAATCCATAACAGGACTAAAATACAGGGTGTCCTACAAGAACCACCTGTCAAAAGAATCAGGAAGCACTGGAACTAAATATGATCATTCTTAGATGGGTGACAGGACTATTTACAGGACAGTGTCACCTGAAAGGACACTTGTTTAAACTGACATTAACCAGCATCCAAACTGTATAAGGTGCCCAGAAAAAAAGAATCAGTCTCACATACCATATGTGACTGAGGCTATAGCTTACCTAAGATTTCCCCATCTGGGATCAGAGATTCTTGAATTGTTACATATGGACAGACAAACATGGCAAACAAATAGGAATACTTTTAAAACTTTTTGCTGTGAATGTGCCAAAAATGGTAGAAACTAATAAAGAAGTAAAGCTATCCCTGTAACAGGCCGTGAAGGCCTATAGGGTTGGAAACGGTGAGGATCCCACATTATCTAGACAATCGGCTCAAAGATGGCGGTAAGGTTGTCAGCCTTACGCGCCGGCCGCACTTTACTCCCAGGAAAATTATTTCATTAATTCCTGGTACTCATTTCTGTTAGAGGCTGAGTCGACCCCAGGGCTATAGTGCGGCTGCAAGGATTAGGTCAATTGAAAAAAATCCAATGACCTCATCGGGACTTGAACCCACTACCTTCCAGCTTGTAGCATAGCCCCTCAACCAACTACGCTACTATGTACCCCAGAAAGTAATAAGATTTTAAAATATCATGTTTTACATTACAGAAAACAGACATTTCAGATATACGTGAACGTGGTGAAATCTGAAACATGGGACAATCCAGCAGCCACCTCATTATCAGTTAACCAAACTATTAGTTCACTAAACAGGAAAGACCTTAAGAAAGTTTGCATCAAGTTGACTGGCAACAGCTCGAGCTAGTAGAGTCTTTCCTGTGCCAGGAGGACCATACAAGAGGCAGCCTTTGGGTGGTGTGATTCCCACCCTCTGGAAGAGCTCAGGATTCAGCAGGGGAAGTTCTATCACCTGCAACACACAACATGATTCTATTTAAACAACTCCATTAATTTACATACCCCACAATACTTGTTTTATATTTAGCAGCAGATGAATTAAAGCAGCAGCATCTTCTGAGAAAAAATATTCAGTTTTACAACATCAAGGATGACAAAATTTGTTCATTTCCTATGAGAAAGCTAACACTACACCGACTGCATATTTGTAGGTACAAAACATATGTCCCCGTATTAATCCTTTTGCGCTAGTCTCCAAAGACTATACATAATAAGTAATTCCATGGAATGGAATCCTTAAGAAGATATTCATTCCACAGCTACACACAAAATTCTCCACCTTTCATGTAACTTGAAGTGATTTTGCCAACTGCTATGAAATCTTCAGGGCAAATAAAATTCACATTTCTTGTCATTTCTTGTGTTGATTTTCTTTCCTTTCTTCCTCTATGACTCTTGGCCTCTTTTTCAGTTTCTTAATCCTATACACAGTCGGCAGGACTCCTTGGACAGGGGATCAGCCCATTGCAAGGCCACTACCCGCATGCAGGATTAACGCGCACACACACACACAGCCATGCCTTGAATGGGATTCGAACCCACGACCTGTGTTCAAGCAGGGGAAGACAACTCAAGCCTAGACTGCACGGCCACTGAGACTGGCTTCTTGTGTTGATACTTTCCTCCAGTATCAGACTAAAACAATTGATATATTTGACATGGTTTACAGATCTAAATTATATGCAAGTATTTCTGATAATTTCAACTAAAATGTAGTGTGAAATTATGGCTAATTCTTGTACAGTAACAATCAGTACCCATTCAGAATTCAACAACTTGCACATGCACACACCTCTCGGAGCTCTCGGATCTGCTCACTAAGACCTCCAATGGCTGAGTACGTAACATCACCGGGATCCTCATGTGACATGTTATAGACTAAAGGGTCTACTTCTCGAGGAAGATATCTCATTATGGTCAAAGTTGTCATATCCAGGGCAACTCTTGTTCCAGATTTCAGCTTGGCTTTGTCCAGCTGTCTACGGCATCCCACCACATATCGAGGCCCATTTGTTGCTTTTACAATAACTATAAAGAAACAATATTATATGAGCTACATAATTACTGGGGACAGTTGTAAATGCAACAGGATTAAACCAAACAGCAGAAGCATGTCTGGAATGTGATGCAGAGATACTATTTTGAAGCTTTAATTGTGTAAGCTATCCTAACAAAGACTTATGGTCATGCACAATTATTCCGTGTGAATGCCAAGACTGCTTCCTTCCTGATCCTATTCAATTTACCACACATAATCAATGAACACACTATTTTAAGTGGGATCTGAGTACAGAAAGATAGCAAAGATTTTCTTTTGCTGCAATATATGAGGACAAAATATATAACAAAGTTTTACATGGGACTTGAATTACTGAAGCCTATCATTTCATACAACAAATATTCCCTAATGAACTACAAGCAACAAATTAAATAATAATAATTTAATTTGAAACTGTCAGTAGAAAAGGTTAACATTGCAACCCATTCTACATGAATTTAACACAAGCCACTTCACTGAAATCTATTTCATTTTTGGAAGCTTCTAAGGAACAGTTTTTCATAAGATGTCCTCATAAATGTCAACTCTGGCAAATCAAACTTCTGTGGCACTATGCTAAGCAGTTAAGCTATTCATGTAACAGGCCATGGAGGCCCAGAGTGCTCTCAGAGGTCAAGGCTCCCACATTTTCTACACAATTGGCTCACAGATGGTGGTGACATTGTCAGCTTTACATTCCAGCCACCCTTTACCCGAGGAAGATTCCTGATATTCATTTCTGTTAGAGGCTGAGTCAACTCCAGGGCCATAGTGCGGCTGGAAGGATTAGGTCAATTGGAAAAATCCAATGACCTCACTGGGAATCAAACCCGCAACCTTCCGGCTTGTAGCATAGTGCCCCAGCCAACTACACTACAGCAGACTCCTGTAGTACAGTTGGTTGAGGCGCTACGCTACAAGCTGGAAGGTCGCAGGTTTGATTCTGATGTCACTGTTTTTTTTTCAGTTTATCTAATCCTTCCAACCACTAACAAAAATAAGCACCAGGAATCTTCCTGGAGGTAAAGGGTGGCTGGTGTGTAAGGCTAACAATCACACCACCATCTGCGAGTCTAGAAAATGTGGGAGCCGTGACGTCTCACAACCCTGTGAGCCTTCACAGCCTGTTACAGGGATAGCTTTACTTTTTCTTTTTTACTAGGCTAAGAAGGTACATCCCACGCTCCCCATTTTTTTGTCTGTACGACTCTATTTATGGTGTCCTTAAAATTATATAAACTGGACAGCTGGGGTTCAATACCTGGGAAGGGCAAAAGATTTCTCTCGTCCATAGGGCTCGCATAGCCTCATATCCAATGGGCAACAGAGGTTGTCTCTACAGTGGCAGAGCTGCAGGGATGTGTAAAGCTATACCTCCACTCCCCCATATGCCTTCATTGCATAGTGTTTAATTACATACACAGGCATAACTTTAACTTCTTATGTATAAATCAAACCTAATGTAATCTTATAACGTACATATTCTTTGTTTTTTCCTCCATCCAGCATTACCCACATAGCAAAGTACATTTTGGGCAACTAAATATAATGAAACAATACTTGCATTTCTCTTCTGTTAACTGCTTCAGAACCTCACCAACGATCTGAAACAGACATAATTATTATTAACACCAATTACAGTACTTGTGTCTTATTTAGTAACTAACAAGAACATCTGTAACCTTTCTGATCTACTTAAATTAATCCAACACCAATGGAGTTGTCAGGAAAATTTAAAACCATATTATATTGAGCGAGAAATGTAGGAATGTTACAGTACAATCGCCACACATCTGAATCTCTTTAGCAAGCAGCCAATAGGCTCATCTACCAGTGAGCTCTCAAAATTTGTGTTTTATTTATACCTGTTATACCACAGATAAACACAGCATAAATCAGATTACATTATACATAAAGCTGAGCAAGCCTGTCAATTGAAACTTGTTACAGAAACATAACAGTATGTTGCATTACAAGAAACGAAAAAGGTCTTTAATTCTGACAGTATTACATGATCAAACAAAGTTCTCCCTGTGCTTAATTAATTAAGCACTATACCTTAAAGACACACAGGGTGTGAAAGCATAGTGCCATGATTCTTGTTCTTAGCACTAGATGTAGTTAAGTGGTCAGCTTCAGGTCCCAGCCACTTTACCCCTTGCATACATTTGATATGAGGCTGGGTGAGCCCCAGATCTGGTCTGGACTTTGTGGTAAAGAGAAAAATCTCCTTTCCCTGACAGGAATTGAACCCCAACCATCCACCCCATAGCCCACTGCTATACTGAGCTATTCCAGCTCCAATATTAGTACACATCCCAATAAACACTGTTAATATATCAAAATGAGCAAAAAAGACCCATGTAGCTGTTTACTGAGAGCACTAATGTACATATCTCTGTCCAATTCTCTTTCCACTGCCAGTTCAGTTAATGCATGACTGTAACCAGTTTTTATAGCACAACAACCATCATATCCATTGCTGTTTTGTTGCAACAATTTAATGCATCAAGCGACTGCTATGCTGCACCACAGCAGTAAATAATATTGCATTCATCAATGGGAATATATATTTACCAGTCTGTCATAATATGCAATTTCATTATTTCAGTATAGTCAAGTTTTGAAAAATCCAGGGAAAGAATGGGCATTTAGACAGCATACGCTAAGTCCTACTTATCTTTACTGAACAACTGTCAGGCACTCCAACCATATGGCATAAATTGATAAGATTATGATGAATAATGAAATGGAAAGGATGTGTAAGGAAGCAATCATGTCCTAAATTGAGGAACAACCACATAACCTGCCTGGAAGGACCTAGGAAAAGGACAAAAAACCCAGTCAGGACATCAGTGTCTCAGTCAAGATTTAAAGTGAGCACCTCTCCAGTACAATCCAAGAGTATTATCACTTCAACCAACTTGCTCTGTAGCATACAGTGAGAAGATTACTTAAATCATTAAGTAAACATATTGAGAACTATACACTTGGATTCTGATATGTCTTAAACACAACTCACTACAGCTGCACTGAAAGAACTATCATTTTCTCAGTCCAAAACATGAAACTCACCGGTCACTCTTTCATCTCACTTATTGGACATTTCCATGTGGTTAATATGGAATAATCTGTTTCCTTACAGAGCAATTAAATCACTCATCAAGCAAGGTCCTTCCTGAGAAGCTAAGAGACACTCAGCTACCCAAGATATTCCACAGACATTATGCAACCTGAAAGTTCAGTACTGTCTTCACGAGAGCCTGCCACTGGATTCCATATTCATATCCTATTTTTTCTTCTTACTAATACTTCATGGAAATCCATGATATATATGTAATGGCCGTCTCGTAGTGCACTCAATTTCACATGTCACTTCACTACATGTTTTGGCAACATTGTGCCATCTTCAGCTGCTTTATTTACTCTAAGCTCTTACATTGCTTGCCATCATGTGTCTTTCATAAAATTATTAAAATGTACATTCATCATCAACTATAATAAAATTTGTATACACTAAAACTTGTTAAGAGTATTCATCTTATGTGTCTTAAATCAAACTCGCGTATCATATGGTTCTTCCATTATGGGAGTCGTTTTTCCTATATTTTTTGTATATGGAAATATTTTTGACAAAAATTCATAACCTTATTATAATAAGCAATATGCTAACTGGAAATGTCCAGTACAAGTCATGCCGTGGCTACATACATTAATGGAAGTATTTCTAACTAGCAGCATAGTAAAATACCACATTAGGCAGGCACCTCATTCCATCAAATTCTCCATAAGCATGATCACCAGTACAGGTACAATAGGACATATGGAAGCCGACATGCCGAGGGGACCTAATATGGATTCCACCTTACACTATATGAAATCTTAACTACTGTAATCTACTGTAAACAATTTTAAGTATTGTATCTTTATTCTCTTATTGTAATCAGCCAATGTCCTATATCATGTAACAATGATCTATAGAGACGAAATAAATAAATAAAAACATGTAATATTATATTGTAGCATCGTGTTGCACTTTTCACTTAGTGTTAGTTGAAAACAAGTATCAGCAACTAAACATCAACGCAGAAAGACGGCAGCTTCCTCACCCACAACTTTTAACACCTGATGATGACCAGTTTGTTTGAAACATATCTTGAAAACTTTTGAAGTGACTAGCTTTTATTAAGATTTAATAAATTGTTGCACATAACACTGTAGAAATAATTAAAAATACTAAGGCACATGTAACTTCCCTTCCATGCTCCTGCAAGCATGCCAAGCCCCATCAAGTCACTGGATGACTTCAGTAAGCTTACTGACATATGTAATATCAGTAGTGAAATCCTGAAATAAGTATATCATTTGCATTTCATGCATCCTGTTCTGTTATTATATACAACTCTTTATTAAGACCATCACAACACAACAACACAGGGTAGCACAGCATAGCTAATTTAGCCTTGAACTCCGTATTGTTGTCTTGTGACAGTCTTAATAAAAAGTTGTATATCATATTAACCTAAAATAGCATAATCTGAACTAACATAACCTAACAGAGTTTATCACTGATATAAACATTGATACTGGATTCAATTACCAAATTCCAGGGCTCTAGATATGCCATCAAGAAGGTTTGGCCAGAAATAGTACCTTTCATCCTAAGCTTACATTCCCAAATCCCAACATACAATTCACAAGGGTGTCTAGGGCATGGGAACAAGAATGCTCTTTCATCAGGCTGTATTAGGTGCTCCATCAGATGTGAAAGAATGCAGTCTTAGGATACAGGATAATGGGAGGGGAAGCTTACATAAGAACAGCAGATGGGGCTGCTGATATAGGAATTTAAACAATACTTCTATGGATATTATAGTCGATATATGTCACCTGAATTCTGTAGTAGTATTGTCACTACACACTTCCATGAAATCGTGGTATTCAGTTATATCTCAAAGTTGAAAATGACCATCATTTATTTGGTGACTCTAAATAGGGCTGTTTCTATACTCCTGCAGCAATGCTGTCATCAGTGACTATACAATGAACAGTCATGCTAACCACAAGAGCACCATACCACCCTGGTGAACCTAGCACATGAATCATCCACTAAAAACTATGACCACTTTATCATCATCCAAAACATAATTTGTAACCATTTTCAACACTGCACTGCTCCAAATATGCTACATTCATTCTCTACATGCATGCAAAAAAGAACATGAACAAACTGACTCCACTCAGGTAAACTTAAGAAAAGTTTACCTCTCCACAGAGCACATATGACACAAAATGGCATCGATCTACAGTTGTGTATTTCGTTCTACCCCTGCCTGAATCCTAGGAAACATTCCGTTCCTGAACCAACTGATCTAAATCAGCACTCATATAACCTAAGAACCTCAAACCCACAACATAACTCTACCCCAATTACATATATCTGCAAATACGCAACCAGCGTGTGTTCCTCACCAAATATGACAACCTAACAATTAAAAACCCGACGGCCTCCTGCCTAAAAAGTATTCGAGGGCCAATTTGTGGAAACAAACATAGGACATACTAACCTGTCCAACACTCTGCAATGCCTTCAAATCATTTTCCGATTTGTCATACTGTTTAGTTAATTCTTTCAACTGCTCTCTCACTGTAATGAAACCAACACAATGTAATAAGTAAATAAATACGTAATCAAATACTGTCACAAAGATGATTCGGCAATATCATAAACATTCATTCAAAATTCAAATAAGCATGCATTATCAAATAATACTTGTCAAGAAAAGGAAGCAGTTATAAAAAATGCATACTTTCTTTCAACCGACTCTCTACTTCCTTATGTTCAAGGAGTTTTTTTCTATAATCAATTAATGATTTTCCTCTTACAGGTTCAGTAGACGCCATGTTCCCAGCATATACAAATTCATACGGTTCATACACTTCATAGACTTCATCGATGTCATAGATCAACGCAGCAGCTTACACAGATCGGTATCCGTGTTGACTTTGACCACGGACAACACAGATGGCCCGAAAGGCTCCCACACACAGACGCGATACGATTCGGGACGATATTGCACTCGGGACGAGAGCGGCTGTTTACCGAGTGGACCGCGCACACAGCCGCGACACTCGGGAATCTTTGACACCCGATAACCAGCTGGCCATGACTCACACTCAATCAGTATCTATACGTAAGTGAATAGACATGGGTAACCAAATGGAACAAATAATAGATTTCGTCAAAGAAAATGCTTTATTGTACGATACTCATCGTCCGATGTACAAGGATTCACGTGCTAAGGATAGAAAGTGGAAGGAATTGGCTGTTAACAATGAACAGAGACAGCAAGTAGAAAAATCTGTATATATTTATATAGGGTTAATTATACAGTAACTGTGGGCATTCTTAGTGTAGGCTATGCACAAGTTCCGTTCACTAACATGAATTCCAGGGGCAGTCATCTAGTTGAAGTACGCAACAACCCGCTCTCTAATGGCGTAGCTAATGTTTGCCGCCCTTGGGAGACGTAAAGGCTGGATAGGGAACATTTCTCCTTCCAGTGGCTCCACTCGTAGCAGTTCTTCCCTGTACTTTTCATCACAGTTTTTGAGACGTAGAAAATTATGAAGCAAACACGCTGCTGGTACAGTGTGTTTTATATTTCCTCCTTTCAGTTCTATAGGTCTCAAAAAAAATCCTCCACTTAATGGCAAGAATAGGCCTCCGACAATTGGTGTATTGTTTAGTGATACCTTCTTGCCCGATGGCTCTCAGGATTTCATCAAACCTGTCAATTTTCATCCTGAAATATATGTAGAACCGTTTTTCGTCCTTCAGGAGTTGAGGTATCAATGTATAAAACTCCCTTAGTTCCTCTCTTGACAAGTTTATATCATGAACCCAAGTGATTCGTCTCTTTCGCCTAAATACGAACACACATAGCAACCACTTATACATACTTAATTAGAGACTCGTTATGGAATTGTAAATATTTGTACATATATATGGCATACTGAATATGTGGAGGAAAAGAACTACGCAGATTTAGTGTTCAGTAAAATACTTGCCGGGATTCACCTTCGTCTTCATCAAGAGCGACAGCTAAAAGCAAAACTTCCTCCAAAGACGGATCCATGAGTATTTACCGCTGCGATACCGAGCGGTCTACCGAGTGCGCTCGGTAGACCGAAATACCGAGGCGATATACCGACTGCGATAATATCGCGTTCCTCGGAGTACCGCGCCAGTGTGCGGACCTCCATTTACCGCAATGTAATTAGATATCGTCCCGTACCGTACCGAGCTGAGTATCGCGTCTGTGTGTGGGAGCCTTGATCTGTGAATCGTACTTCGTTCCTCTATTCAGAACGATTCAGATTTGTGTACTGTGGCTGCCTTGGCCGTTGCCAATCAATGGTAGCTTGAGCGCTGTGGGGACCGTGGACACCGTGGGGACGTGGGGACTGTGATGGTGGTGGTGGTGGTTGTCGGCGGAGCCGTCAGTGGCGTCAGCGTCGTCACCTCGTTGGTAGCGGTTGGTAGCCTTGTGATTGGTTGTGATCGTTGTGATGACGTCTTTGCTTCAGGGCGTCAGCAGCTGAGATTCCACGGGTTACCAATCTGAATCATATTTGTTGCCGTTTGTTGCGCAATTAGTTTGCAGGAGCGAAGGAAAAAAACGGTTTGATGTTTGTAGTAAAAGAGATTCAAGATTTGAGAAAGTCAGGAGGAAAGAACGTATATATTACTTGCTCTGTCTTGCATTGTGTATTGGGATGCCACTTTTAGTGCATGTATTCTGTTGAAGAAAGCAGTCTTCTGGGATTTGGCACCGTGTATATGTGGTGTTAACCGACGTTTCGGAGGAACGTATCGCCTCCATCTTCAGGGTAGAAGAAAAAATATAAGAATTCTGCAAGAGACCGTGAGAACCGGTAAAAGCAGACTGTGGGGATATACACAGCTATGTGAGAGCAGTGAGGGTGAAGGGGGAAGGGCAAGTATACAAGTGAAAGCAGTAGTGTGGGAGGGGTAGGGGAAAGGGAGCTGGGACAAGTGTGGTTTTTGTGTAGGGGAGAGAAAGCAAGGTTAAAGGCTGGGCACAACCCATAAGCTGAGGGGGGGGTTGTTATGTTGGTTGGTCATGGCCTGTGTGGCCTTCTGGATCTGGCGTCATATCCCGGTGGGGGTTTTTTAACCCTTTGACGTGGTCATTTAAATTCCGCGGCCGCGGCTCCTGCGGTAATATATTCAGCCGGCCATTTAAATTTTGCTCGAAAATTATTTATTCATCATTGTTCTTAAATTCTATGAGATAGGAACATGAAACTTTCACTAAAATGATCTTAAATGGTGGTTTTATAAGTATTCTGAAGCTGAATGCGGTGTCCCAGATTGATGCTGTGTTCAGCTATGGCCGACTTGTCCGGTTGTTCGAGACGGATGTGCCGCTGATGCTCCTTCAACCTCGTCCACGGAGCAGCCTGTCTGCCCAATATAGACCTTCCCGCACTCGCATGGGATACTGTATACACCCGGTGTCCTTAGGCCCAGGCTGTCTTTAACTGGCCAGAGGAAATTGGATAATTTGTATGGAGGCAGACCCACTGCTTTGATGTCGTGTCGGGACAGCACTCTGCTGATACGGTTGAATATGGTCCCGACATAGGGAAGGAAGGTGACTGAGCCCGGTTTGTCTTCAGGCCGGCTGATGTTGGGCCGACGGTTGAGAACTCTATAGATCTGCCGGTTGTTGTATCCGTTCTTCTTGAATACATCCTTCAGGCGCACCAACTCCGCATGTAGGCGGATGATCAAGACAGCCAGATCCAGAAGGCCACACAGGCCATGACCAACATAACATCCCCCCCTCGGCTTACGGGTTGTGCCCAGCCTTTAACCTTGCTTTCTCTCCCCTACACAAAAACCACGCTTGTCCCAGCTCCCTTTCCCCTACCCCTCCCACACTACTGCTTTCACTTGTATACTTGCCCTTCCCCCTTCACCCTCACTGCTCTCACATAGCTGTGTATATCCCCACACAGTCTGCTTTTACCGGTTCTCACGGTCTCTTCACTTGCAGAATTCTTATATTTTTTCTTCTACCCTGAAGATGGAGGCGATACGTTCCTCCGAAACGTCGGTTAACACCACATATAGATGGTGCCAAATCCCAGAAGACTGCTTTCTTCATAGTTACCGCTGTGAAAGCCTCAAATCTTACATGTATTCTGTTTGAAGCCCCGTGTGTAATGAGTCCATAAACCTCATATTAAACTTAAAGATGTCAGTTTTGACAATTATGTGGAGGATAAATAACGAATAATTTCAACTTTCATAATTGCTAGGGTGGTAATTAACAATACGACCTACTTAGCGGAAATATACTTCGTTGTTGGGCACCAAAATTTTGAATGCCCTGATATTTGTAACGGTGTCCATCCCAGGCCCACAGACAAATCACGAGTTGATCATTCACAAAATGTAAAATGTCAGGCTGTCTTTGAACTGCACCTTCTTACAGCCTATAAGGCACACTGTTTCAGAGTCCTCATATCGAACATGGTTCAAGTGTTAACATATTTTCATTGTTGATTCTCATACACGACCTACTGGTGTATAAGATGAGCTGTGACATTTTGGTCCATTTTAAGGAAGAAAAATCTTGGGAATCCAGAAATATAACAGTTTGTTTGCCATGAAGCAATGCCGTGTGGCATTTTAATTTTTCAGAGATGAACATAGATACGTTGTAATGATAGCACCTTTTTAAGTGTACTCTCTTGAAATGACGTATTTTTGCCAATTAGCTACATCGTGACAAAAATCTTTTTTTTTAGAAAGTGGTATGACCGTGGTCTTTGAATATGATGGATCTAATGAGTGTGGACCTTTAGTGACTTGCTCATTGACTTTACCATTTTGAAGCTGTCTTGTGATCTGGTGATGCTAATTTTTAGGGGCCAGGGCTTAGTTATGTGCAAGTCAGAATTATCTGTGGGTCTTTCTGGCACCACGTGAAGTCATGAGGTTGACGCTGTTTAGAATTGTAAAGTCTAGGAGGGTCAGTTCCACGTTTGGCGGTGTATCGAGCGATTGTGTGTATTTCTGTCCCTATTTTCAATATTTCCATTAGTTGCTATTTTATGATAGTCACAAAAAGAGAGTCTCAAAATGAAAGATTTTGTGGACCTCTGTCACTGACAGAATGTTTTGTTTCTTTTCCTCCAGATGGAGCCATCACAAGAGGGAAGGCCAGCTTGTGGAAACAAAATAAAGCGGCCTCCCAATTCATATATTTTATTTGCTAAAGAGTGGAGAAAGAAGTTTGCTGCTCTGTATACTACAGAAAGAAGCACGGACATCAGCATAAGGTAAGCGGTAACTTTCACTACTGATAAGATTATTAGGTGGCAGGATAGCTGAGCCAGTGTAGTGATGGGCTTTGGGCTGGATATCCGGAGTTCAATTGTGGGCAGGGATGACAGATTTTTCTCTAGTTGAAAGCATTCTGACTGGCTCTGAGGCCCACCAGTGTCTCCTGTGCAGTGGTTACTGGGCACTATTTCCCTAGGAGGCAAAGCTGCCAGAGCATGAAGCTGACCGGCTACTCATCCCTATCCAGTGCCAAGGTCAACAATTGTGGAACAATCCCTCCACTCCCCCATATGTCTTCATGGCATTAGCTCTTAATTAAGCAGGTACAGGGACAACTTTATTATAAATTATTTGGGTGATAAGAAATTTATGTATTTTTGAAATGGTTCCAGATGCAAAGAATTTTTAAACAGCAAGGAAAGTGATTAACTGAAATCCACTGTTAATCCATGTCAGTTGCTCGTTGAATCTTCCGAGAATAACTTGCAGGCGAGTAACTTTGATGCAAATTATATCAGGTCAAGTAAGAGTGGAGGCGCTGTATTCCATGATGTAGTGCACAAAATTTCAAATGGCAGTTCTTCTATTTTATTAAAATTACTTAAGTTTTTTATATAATATTAGATTAGCAGCTGGTGATACACATGAAACAATTCCATATATGACCGTAAATG